CATATACTACTTAATATGTGGATTAACCCCAATAAAAATCATATTTTCTGGAGAAACAAAAACATTTAAGGTCTCAAACCTATTTAATATTCATACTATGTAGGTGTATGATGCAGCTATGCATTAAAACAAAAATTCCATTTTTTATAATTTTTCATGAAATATGTGGGCTAACCACTATGAAAAAGCTGAATTTTCCTTTAAATACTACATCTACTATTTACCATCTTTCGTGTTGTTTAAAAAATACCTAAACGCACTCCAAATTTTTTTAAATATATTCTAAACTTATCTTTATGGTACATGTGAATCATTTTAATTTTTCCAATGATTAATTTATTTAACATTCAAATACCACTTAATATGTGGATTTGACCCCAATAAAAATCTTATTTTCTGGAGAAACGAAAACATTTAAGGTCTCAAACCTATTTAATATTCATACTATGTAGGTGTATGATGCAGCTATGCATTAAAACAAAAATTCCATTTTTTATAATTTTCATGAAATATGTGGGATAACCCCCATGAAAAAGCTGAATTTTCCGTTAAATACTATATCTACTATTTACCATCTTTCCTGTTGTTTAAAAAATACTTAAACCCACTCCCTATTTTTATATATGTTTGCTAAACTTATGTTTATGGCACATGCGAATCATTTCAAATTTTCCAATGATTAATTTATTTAACATTGATATACCACTGAAACAAACCCAAACTGCACCTGTAAAACAGTCCTTCATCTAAGTAAAATCTCATTAATATTTTTTTGTTTGGCAGCTTCTGTAAAAGATGGTTAGCTAGAATGTTTTATTTCTGCATCTTTTTGACATTCTTAGAATGAACAGTTGAATAGCTATTCGAAACTCAAACTCAAAAGCAATGAATATGATTTCAAGAGCAAGGAAACATTTCATTGTTGCTGGGAGAATAAACAAAGGGCTCAGAGAAAACACTTTCGTATGGAAAAGTCAATTAACTCTCCAACCAAAGTTAATCCTAAGGAACATAAAGAAAAAAGGATAAATAAGACCAACCATCATCACAAACGAGAAACCACACCTCTTCTAAGCCAGCTTCCTCCTTGGCTTAATAGTAGATCTCTTCTCAACAGATCCGGTGCTCTTGGTAGAACGAGAGACTAAACCACGAAGACTAGCCAGTATCCCAATACCCATGAAAGGCGCATACAGCATTAACAATCTCTCAGATGCCTTCCCCGAACCTATCATCTCTCCCAAGACTGCAGCCTAAATATCCACACAGAAATATATATATCAGAAGAACAAACAAAAACAGTCACACATAGTTGTCAAATCCACAAGAACGCAGACCAGATCTAAATGTAGATTATAGCAGAAAAAAAAATACTATTGTTACTAGTTTCACCCTTTACGCTTAGAACATTAACAAAAAAAATAAACAGATCTAAATTTTAGCAAGGCTTAATTAACATACACTAAAAAAGTAAATCTAGTGAGCAGAGCATTATTACACTACTCCATACAGACAGATCTCACTACTAAAATAACTCCTTGGTCAACGCAATGTCAAAGAAGCAAAGTTCTGAACTTTACATTCTCATCTCACAGATCAATACTAAAACGAAATCAATCAATCAAAGTTCACAACTTTTTAGCATAGATTAAATTAACATACACTAAAAATGTAAATCAAGTGAGCATTAACACCTCTACTAGTCAGACTCCTTGGTCAACGCATAGTCAAAAGAAATAAAGTTCAGAACTTTACATACTAAAACGAAATCACTGTACCATGGAAGTAACAATAGAAGCTCCGTAGAGCAAGCACGTGGTACCAAACCACGACTTTCCGGAGAGAATCGCGTAGACGTTGGCGATCGAGAGCGGCCAAAGGAAGATAAGCTCGTGCCAGATGAGTCCGACGAGGAAATGTGGCTTCTCCATGAGCAAGTAATCATCGAACTCGGCGATGTAGTTGCTGTTCAGATCGGTGAGAATCGCCGGGAAGATATGTTTGGGAAGAACAGTTTGTGCGTCGAAGAGGGGAGGGATAACGACCATTAGAGCGAAGAATAAGAAGAGGAGCGCATCGACTAGCTTCCCGAAAGCTCCCATCTTTCTTCTTCTTCTTAGATTGAAAGTTTTCAGCTTTTGAATCTGAGAGTGATGATGAGAGTTAAAAAGAGTCGTTGACCGAGAAATTTATATTAAGAAGGTTTTTTACTTAACCGGAGATTTATCCCGGTTCGGTCTTTTTTAATTTATTTCCGGGTTAAGTCATGTGGTTATATTAAGAAGGTTTTTACTTAAGAGAGATTTATCTCGGTTCGGTCTTTGTTAATTTATTTCCGGTTAAGTAATGTGGGTTATTCATAATTGATTTCAATTTGACCAATAGGTAGTGATGAGATTACTGAACGAATTAGCTAACCGGATATAAGACTTAGCTATTACATGCATTCCTGATGTGTTTTTTTTTTTATCTATCCCCCTAAGTATGTTGTAATAAATCCATTCTTGAAAATGTATTTTTATTTATTTCCGGTTAAGTTATGTAGTGTGGTTTGTTTATTCATAGTTGATTAGCTAACCGGATATAAGACTTAGCTGTTACATGCATTCTTGATGTGTTTTTTTTATCTAACCACCTGAGTATGTTGTAATAAATCCATTCTTGAAAATTTATTTTTATCCGGTTAAGCTATGTGGTTTTTTTATCTAACCCCCTAAGTATGTTCTTTTATCTAACCCCCTAAGTATGTTTGAAACATTACTTATATACGGTTAAGTTATGTGGTTAACTTTAGCCCCCCTTAAAGTTATTTAAATTTTATTTATATACGGTTAAGTTATTTATCTAACCCCCCTTAAAGTATATTCTTTTATCTAACCTCCTAAGTATGTTTGTAAACCGGATATATGACTTAGCTATTACAAATTATTATGATTGTTCTATTTATTTCCATTAAGTTATGTGGTTGGTTATTCATAGTTGATTAGCAAACTGGATATAAAACTTCGTTGTTATATGCATTCTTGATGTGGTTCTTTTATCTAACCCCCTAAGTTATGTTGTAATAAACGCATTCTTGAAATTTTATTTATATATCCAGTTAAATTATGTGGTTCTTTTATAGGGAGAGTCCCCCAAGAACAAAATATTGTTGAAAACTTTTATTAAATCAAAACATTTTTACAGACTTCTTCAACTGCTGAAAACTTTGAAAGTACTTATTGTCAAATTTACAATACTAGTACATATTGTTGGAAACTTTTTTAACTAAAATCAAAATATTTTCATTGAAAGTTAGTTTAAGTGATAAATTTACAATACGAAAAAACAGATTAAACATAGACGCCGTTAACGGACAATAGAATTATATATGGACAGGATGTAAATGTTGGTTTGTTTTTAACATTGAAATTCTACCACCTAGACTTATTCCAAGATGAAAATTATTGTAAATGCTAAATCTACAATACCAAAAACATGTTAAACGTTACACCGCCTACAAACCGAGAAAATTCTATGGACACAGAAACTCATATGGATCGGGCGCAACAGTTTGGTTAAACGCTACACCACCTACAAACCACGGAAAATTCTATGCTCACAGAAATTCATATGGATCGAGCGCAACAATTTGGTTAGTTTTCAATATAATAAAATTTATCACCTACACTTTTATCCAAAATGGAAGTCACTAAGCGATATAATTACAATACTATAACATATTAAACATTAACTACATCTCTAACAGACCATACCCTATCGAGACAGGATGCAAATGTTTGGTTTGTTTTTAACATTGAAATCTACCACCTAGACTTATTCCAAGATGAAAGTTATTGTAAATGCTAAATTTACAATACACTAAAAACATGTTAAACGTTACACCACCTACAAACCGAGAAAATTCTATGGACACAGAAATTCATATGGATCGGGCGCAACAGTTTGGTTAAACGCTACACCGCCTACAAACCACGGAAATTTCTATGCTCACAGAAATTCATATGGATCGAGCGCAACAATTTGGTTAGTTTTCAATATATTAAAATTTATCACCTACACTTTTATCCAACATGGAAGTCACTAAGCGATAAGATTACAATACTATTAACATATTAAACATAACTACATCACTAACAGACCATATCCTATCGACGTACAAAAGTTTGGTTAGTTTTTAACATATTTAAATTTATCACTTACACTTATTTCAAGATGAAAATATTTTGTTTAGTTAACATGTCCATTTAAAACATTTTGTAAGGTTAATATTTTTATTTGAGAAAATATTTACAATTTAAAAAATATTTCATACTGTGAATACCTTTATTTGTTAAAATATATAGAATTAACATTTAAAATCATAAATAAAAGTGAAAGAAAAAAAAAACAGTTTTCTTGTAGAGAAAAGAAAACAAAAACCTGGGAGATGATGTTGTTCGAAGATTGTTCGTTGTTTTCCAAAGCTGATATCTTCTTGGGCCATTTGTTGAGGAAGAATAGATGTATCGAAGAAACTCATCTTCTCGCGTCGTTTTGCTTTCTTCACCACCGTTTAACACTCAACAGAATCCACCGATCAATAAGGGCACACGAAACAAAATGCTTTGTTTAGAGAAGGGAAGGATGAAGTTAAACACTCTACAGAGCTTTGCTAGAGAAGAAACCAAAATTATTATAAAAGTAATGAACGAGGGAAAACTTTTGATAGGGCACACGAAACAAAATACTTTGCTAGAGAAGGGAAAGATCATTTCTGTGAAAGACTCTACAGAGCTTTGCTAGAGAAGAAACCAAAATTATTATTAAAGTAATGAAAGAGGGAAAACTTGTGATGTTTCGAGAGAAATGAGAGAGGACTATTTATAGAACAAATGTGACGACCCAAAAGAAAAAAAGAAAAGGAAAATGTGTAATAATTTTTTTACTGTGAAACGGTCATATTTTGGCTTACCGAGTAACGGTCATAATTTTCCCACTAGGTAATAATAATCTAGCATGCATGTCACTTGTGAGTGACAACTTCCTTTGTTTTGTGAGCAGTGACAACTAGTCCGAGTAGACTAGTCATAATTTTAGATTTTTTAATGGTATATTTTCTGTTTAATTACTGAGGAAAATGTTGATAAATCTTTAAAGGTGAGAAGTTCAGTACTCTAATAATTTGATAGTTTATTAATATGTGTATATAAGAAAATCTTAAATTCAAATCAAAGAAAATAAGATTTATAATCAATGAAATTATTGGGAAAAAATGATATTTTACAGATATATAGAATCATCTCTGATTTTATAAATCAATGTAAATATAATTAACTATCAAACGTAAATCAGCATATAGATTTTCTTTTCACACCAGAAATACTTATATTGACAAAGATATATCAGAATTTGATATTTATCATAATTTATAATTAAATGAATTGTGTTAATAATTAAAATAAAATGGTAATCATGTATTTCGAAAGTAGTGAATTTTTATAGAATAAATGTGTTGACACGAGAAAAAACGAGGGAAATGTTCTGTCCGTTGTATAATTTTTATTTTTTAAAATTATTATTGCAAAAAAAAATTTATCAACTGTAATAAATTTTCTTACATATTACCGAGTAACGGTCATATTCTACCCGTAATAATAATTTATCATGCATGTCACTTGTGGGTGATAACTTCCTTTTTCGTGAGTAGTGACAACTAGTCCGACTAGTCTAGTCGTGGTCATAACTTTAAATTTTCTAATGGAATAATTTTCTGTTTAAATTATTGCGAAAAATGTTGATAAACCACCTTTAAAGGTGGGAAGTATTCTAATAGTTTGATAGTTTATTAATGTTTATATATAAGAAAATCTGAAATTCAGATCAAAGAAAATACGATTTGTTATCAATGTAAATTATTGGAAACTGTTTAAATTTTTAACTTCACAGATAAAGTCATCACTGATTTTATAAAATAATGTAAATAGAACTAAATATAACTTCACAGATGTAAATCAGCATATGAATTTTCTTTTCACACCAGAAATGTGTATATTAACTAAAGATATATCAGAATTTGAAATTAATGCTGTAAAAATGGAAATTTACCACAACGGTCATATTTTATCTTACCGAGTAAAAACGGACATATTTTTCTCACTAGGTAATAATAATCTATCCCATCATGCATGTGACTTGTGACAGTAATATTTTCCTCAATGCTAAATAACGTATTTATCAAAGTAAAAACTATTAGTGTGACTAAACTGATGTAAGTAAAGTTATTGACAACCCAACCCAACAAACACTTATCTCTTCATGTATTGCATTTAGCCTTTTGAAATTGGAAACGAAAACAGTTGAAGAAGATGGATAGAAAAGAAATTAAATTGTGAAAACTATTCTCCATGATTCTGGTAATGTATTTTTCATTGATTCAGTTCTTGTACAAGAGCTTCTAATGGAATATGATTTCTTTGTATAAAATACTCAGAAAATGATAATATTTTTTGAACGAAAATAATAAGTTTTTTTTTTTAAGTGGAAGCTCGGTAGTCTCATATTCTAATTACAGGTTTATTAATGTTTATATATAAAATAATCTGAACTCAAATCAAATAAAATAAAATTTCTTATTTATTATTTAAAATATTGAAAAAATAAGATAATTTTAATTTTACAAGTAGAATCATAGAAAAATCGAGTACAATATTAAAAAATATAACTATCTGACGTTAAATCATCATATAGATATATTATAATTTTTTTTGTTATTTATCATAATTTATAATTAAATAAAATAATGATAATTAAACTGATCATTTATTTTTAGTATTTGTGTATTTATAAATGTTTAGAGTATTATACATAGATTAAAAACATTAAATGCATTTTTTTATAAGTATTTGTGATTAATATTTTATCTCCACTAAAACAAGTTTTTTTGGAATATTGATTTTTTTAATAATTTTTATCCTAAAAACATTTAAGTATGTCATCGTAAATAGAAATGTAAATTAATTGAGTTAAGTTTTAAGGAAAAACCGTTAATAGTGTTATACAACAAAAAAAAATTTGTGAAACAAGGAAAAAATCCAAAAAATGTATTTTCTGAAACGGAAGTAATAAAAAATAATTTTAATTTTACAAATAAAATCATCATAGATCTTTATAAGGCAGTTTGAGATTAATATAATTAAACCTATCAGACGTGAAATCAGCATACACATAAATTAGAATTGTTTTTTTTGAAAGATTTATCATACTCTAAAGTAAAATAGTTTTTAAAAAGATCAGTGTTAATTATTATTATTTTTTAAATAATGATAATTAAACGGAACAGTTATTTCCAAACCAGTATTTATGAAACAAGAGTTGGAGACATAACCGGTCTAGCACTTAGGTATCTTAACCGGATAAATATTATATTAACAAAAGATATATCAGTTTGACCAAAAAAAGAAAGATATACCAGAAATAGATTTATAACTAAATGAATTGTAATAAATATTAAAATAGAATGGTAATTATTTATTTAAAAAGTAGTATCCATGAAACAAGAGTTGGGTTGAAACCAATTATCAAAAAAACAAGAGTTGGATCTCTAGCACTTTGGTTCTGAGAGAGAGAAAGTAGCTTAACAATGTCTAAAACCAAGTACGATCGTCAACTCTGGTAGGTATACACCCTTTCCCTCCTACAACTCTAACTTTGGCTCTGATATGGGTAAAATTTTATTTTTTGAAATTAATGCTGCAAAAAAGAAGAAATTTAGAAATAAGTTTTCTTAGTGTAACGGTTATATTTTGTCTTACCGAGTAATGGTCATCTTTTTCTCACTAGGTAATAATAATCTATATTATCTATCCCATCATGCATCTGACTTGTGACAATTATATATCCTTTGGTCAAATAAGAAAAGAAGAAATCGATCACAACTGTATAAAATTACCTTACCGTGTTCACCAGTCATATTTTCCTTAATGCTAAATAACTTATTTATCAATTTTAAAATATCAAGTGACTAAACTGGTGTAAGCAAAGTTATTGACAGCTAAACTATAAGTGTAACGGTTATATTTTACTGGAAACTCAGATAGTCAGGACCATCTAATAAAATATGAAAATAGAACTAATAGAATCTTAAATATAAAATTAAGAAAAATTTAAGATTTTCTTTCAAAAAATATAAATAAACTAAAAATATCAAATATAACTATTAACTTTTTAAACTATTTCATTGAATCATTAAATAAACCACTGATAATTTTTGAACAAGGTCTAAAAATATCTTGAGACGATCCTGCATATGGTGTTTAATAAATCTATATTTCATTAATTAATTTTGTAATTAATATTAAGATAGTGTTATAAATTAGTGTTAACTGAAATTTTAATATAAAACAAAAATACAAATTCAATATCATTTTATAAACTTTATAATTATAGTCTGTAATATATTAATAAAATAAAAATATTATATTGAATTGAATATGAGTTAATTATATTTAATACTAAGTTAGCCGAATTTATTTTTAAGGAGTGTTTTAGTTTAAATAAATAAATAAATATCATTCACCATTAAAATGAGTTGAATTTCATAAACTATGTACTTTTTATACAAAATAATAATTTTGTAAACTTTTATATTTACAAATACATATTTTTTTTAAGATTGTTAACATGTGTTAATACCATAGCATCCAAAATATTTTATATCGATAAATTTTTATAATATAATACATGGTCATAATTAATTTAATATCTAGAATCCAAATTTATAATTGTAATCTATAATATTTACAGAATTTGAGATTCTATAGCATCTTAAATCAATTTTATTTTTATTAAAATTTTATTTTGACCAAAAATAAAATATTCTAAATGCAATATATATTGAAAAATAATATTTATGTATACAATTTACAAGTACAAATTAAATATTGAAGTATTTTTAGATTACTAAAACATAGCAACGTATTTACTTATAAATCTCACAATATACATAAATGATATATGGTATATTTTTAAAAAATATAACATGAAAATATAAATTATCCTAAATAAATATAATTTATGTAGTACAAAAAAATTGAAAAACATATTTTGGAAGAGACAGTTTATCTGTTTATTTCACATATGAATTTATTGTTGTTGTGCAAAAAAAAATGAATTTATTGTTATCGAACTCAAAAATATATTAGTATATAAAAACAATTAATAGAAAAAAATAAATTATATATAACAAATCATTACATATTAATATTATCAAAAGAAAATCAAAATAGTAAAGTTATAAATTAACATAATATATAACACGAAAATGTAAATTATATAATTACAAAATTATTGTTATATGAAAACTATATATATATATATATATAAATTGGAAAAATATCCACAAAATGCAGATCAAATTCTAATAAATCTTTTTAAAAAAAAAGTTGAACGTAATGTAAACTAGTTATTTAGTTTCAAGTTAGCTGTAATATTAACAAGAGATTAAATAGTCAATATATAAAATATATGGTTGATTGGTAGTTT